GAAATTGCCAAGTCAAGGTCACAAAATTCCCCCAGGGTTGTGCAGCTCAACTGTCTCCTATACAGTCAAAACTAGGGTTTGAGTTCTGGTCAAGCAAATGAACTTTTCAAAGGCCCAATCAAGTCCCATATGCCTACAAAGATGGTCAAGTATCCTCATATCAAGTTTCAAGGCACTCAGCTCAAAATTGCACAGTCAAAACCCTAAATTGCACTACAGTCAACTGTAGGGGCAAAATGGTCATTTGACAGTCAAAAGTTCAAATTTTTGGTCAATATATCATTTTGAAGCCACAAACATCATTTGATCAATGCTTGATCATGATTCTCAAAATTTGGCTCAGAAATCATCAAAGATGCAAAAGTTGCTATATTTGGACAGCTGAAAAAGTCAACTGAAATTGACCAGGGCATAACTTTCACATGGATTATCATAAAAATTCCATCCAAAGCTCATTTTGAAGAGAAAGACATTTCCTACAATTCATCTTCATATTCCAAGTCCAAGAAATGCTCTCACAAAAAGTTATCAATTTCAACATTATAGGTCATTTTCAAAAGTCAACAAAAAGTGACTTTAAGTCAAAGGCCATAACTTGAGATTGGTAAATCAAAATGACATGGGACCAAAGGCATTGGTTAAAGGACTCAAAGACCTTTCCAAAATGTCCAAGAACATGTGAAAAGCTTAAAAATTGACCAAGTTATGCCTTGTGGAAGTTGGGAAATTTTTGGGAATTTTTGAAAGTCAACATTGATGCAAAAGGCCTAAAAATGCAAATGGGCCCAATTTTCTTCCAAGTTTCTTCATGCCAAGCCTATGCACGACCACTAGGCCCAAAGGGAAGTATTTTCATATTTTTTAATTATTTATTTGAATTTATATTAATTTATATTCATTTAAATCATTTTAATACATGGAAAATATCAAACTTAACCTAAAAAAATCTTTTCATGCATGTTTATTCTTAATATTTCGTGCACATCTTAAATAGGAAGGTTTTGGTCTAATTGGAGGCAAATTGATACAAAAACCATGAAAAAGATTCAAAAAAGATCTTGTGAAATCAAATCCTAAAAAATCATTATGGCCATGGATTTTGTTCAATGTTTTTGACCTAAATCGTTCCTTACATATACAAGAACAAGACCTAATGCCAAAAAGACTCTTAGCTGCGCTCAGAAGCAAAACACAAACTTGAAAAAATTGTCCAAAAATTGAAAACTGATTTCAGGGTTATAGGTAGATTCAAGCTTCAACTTCCATTCCAATAGCTTCCTTGGGTGATTCTGAACACGTGCCACTCATTAGCATCAATTCAAACACGAAGAATCGGTACATTGAGTGTGAACTGCATCCAAAAAAAATTCCTAATCGTATTTTGGTTTTAAAGCATGATCATGGCATTTTAATTATATATTCATGTTCCTGATGAAGTTTGTGAACTAACCATTATATTTAATTGGATTTTCATGCCATATACAAGGTTTTGCCATGTCCATATTCTAGGTTTTACAGATTTTAAAATTGGGGCTTTTACAAAGAAGAAAAATTGATGCTTCAAACCAGGACCATTGAGTTCAGTACATGGAGACGAAGAAGAACGTGTCCTCGCGCCTAATTTATGTTGAGAAACGAGCTATTCGCTATTTTTTGATAGCTAGTCTAAAGCAACGTTTCAAAAACCGTGGCCATAGTGTTTTGTTTTACAGGGTGAGGAAGACGAAGGCATCGTGTCAATTGCTAACTGGCCAATTCAAATTCGCGCGCGTTTTAACTACTTAACGTTGATTTTGCTTTTTTATTATTTGCTTATAATAATATATCAATTAGCGCGTTTGGTTCAGTGGTTAAGTGTTGTGCTTGTGACCTTCAAGACCTGGGTTCAAGTCCCAGGTCTGGCAAATACTCCATATTATTTTTCACTAATTGATCCCATGCAGCATAAGCGTTGAGGCGCACCATGTGTGTCAAGGTCCAAAAGTCCACGTGCCTAATGGATGCAGATCAATGGCTCCAGTGCAGAGGACATACCATACGCAAGTCAATATGCCACACATGATCCAAAAGGTCAACCAATTTCCAGCTTATTGGGCCAGGCTTCTCAAATTTGCACCTCCTAATCTGGGGCTACACCCCACCCTGGTTTGCCCTTTTATTTATTTATTTTTTTTATCTTTTAATCCTTATTTTAATTATTATGTTATCCTAATTATTGTTTATTTAATTTCATTAAAAATCAGAAAAACATCAAAAATATAATTTTTATTTTAATTACTTTTCTAAAAAAAAAACTTGTATGTAAATATTTAGTTTAATTAGGTTATAGTTTTAATCTTTTTAATAAAAAAACCCAAAAAATAGAATTTAGGTTTAATATCTTTTTTTGATTTTTCTTTTAATTTTTCCCTTTTTTTAGAATAATATTATTTAGTTATTTTCATAAATTAAAAATTGTGCATAAATAAATTAGGTTTTAATTTAGATCATATTTTAATTCTTTCATAATAAATAAAAAAATATTAGAATTAGGGGTTTGCCGTTTAATTTAATTGAATTAATTCCTTTTTCTCATTAAATCTAAAAAACACAAAAAATATCATTCTCATTTAATTTTAATTTTTAAGTCCTTATTAATTTTAATTATTTGCAAAAGGGTCCAACGCCCTAGTTTCGTTTTAATTATTTAATTTGCGCATTTATCTTATGTCGTTTAATTATAATTTTGTATCTCTCCCAAAGCATTGTAATTTTACTTTTCGCACTTTTATTTCTTCGCATTATTTATTTTCCGCTAAATCGGGTCCGGTTTAATTTTGGCGATGTGGACCCGCGCCTTTTGTAATAGCCTTAGATTTATTTCCTCGCAAAATATTTAACTGTTAACCAAGCATGCAAGAATGAATGTCTTAATTAAAATCAGGCGTAGAACACGACAAACATGACAAGACAAATGACTGAAACATGACACACGATTCGCACACACCACCCCTAGGGTACGCCTCACTGTTGCCTTTCGAAAGGTGGTCGTCGAGTAGAAAACGTCTTAGTAAGTCCTCATGATCCGGGAACCTGGCATGAGGGTAGCTTCTAAGGTGTCTTCCTATTGCTCTGGTGATCACCATGTCCCTAAACTCGAATTGACCCGAACACCTCCAACGGTGGTGCTACCTACCTCTCAATGGTGGGATGGCACTACTTTAAAGGACATTTACACAGACGAATTCCTTAGGGTAGGTAGGTTCTCAAGGATACTTGCTCCAATCTCAAAACAAACTCAAAAGACTTTTCACACTGACACATTTTCAAAAGCTTTCAAAGCAAACTTTTCAAACACTCTGACGTACGAGTCGATCTGAAATTTTTCAAAGAAACTTTTTAAACCCACATTGAAAAGCAAACAAAACAATTTTGAAAACACAATGAGCAAGTATCTAAGAGCCCATGGATAACCATGGATAGAAAGGGTGCTAACACCTTCCCTTTCTATAATCTACCTCCCGAACCGAGAGCAATCTCTATAAGGAATTTTTCTGTGCTTTTGTCCTTTCCATTTGGAGAAAATAAAAGACGGTGGCGACTCTTGCTTCCGCGACATTTCGCGAACCATCGTTAAACAGTCAGTTCCAGATCCACCGATCACAACCATCATATTCTTTTAGGAAAAATCAATGTTATGATTTATTTTTTGAATCATAAGAATCTGATCAAACAAGTTCACGAGAATCATAAGTCAATTCTTATAGACGACATCATTGTTCCATTTAAGAACCATATATAATTGATGATGAAGTGAAATATGACTCAAGCACGGTGGAGTGAGTTTTCGGTATGAAGGAGTGAGGTTTCCGTGCAAGGTTAGCATTCAAACTCCAAAGTTAATGAATGAATGAGAAGAATTGTAAGTGTGAGAATAAGCATAATACCTGAGACTTGGCGCGTGGAGATCTTTATATATATGAAGAACAATTATAATTGCCTTGGATCATCCAACGTAGAATACATAGGTTCCTTCTATTAAATCGGGCAACAAATATCTTCAACAATAAAGCATTCATGCATATGGATTGAATCTTCTTGCAATTAGGCTTCTTCGCCTTTGGACCTAAGGTCGGTCCGAAACACATACATATAAGATTGCATTTAATAAAAATATTCATATTGTTTCATGTTTATATACTATTGAGTTTTTAAAGACGAGGTTGGCGACACATACATTCTATTATGGTTAGATTGTCTAGACAAATTTAACAGAGCGTTTGTTTCAAATCTAAAAATTATATTCCCGACAATACATGGGTGAAAAATAGTTATTCTCATATTTGTTACAAGATTGAAAAAAATTATTCCCAAGATTGAAATTCATTTAGAAATATAATAACTTCCATAACTTCGATAATTCTCATAATTTTATTCTCATGGTAAGAAAGTGAGAACGTTCATTCCATGACATTTTATAAATGTTTTTAAAAAAAATATAATTACTTATTTTCCAAATAACATCAAATTATATGTCAAACACAATTATAAAAAATTATTAAAAAATTAAATCTTCGTATTTTTATTCTCAAATAACTTATTTATGAAAATCTTTTACGAATTCTTGAAAGAAACACCCCCTAAACCAACTAAATCTATCTATTCATTAATTTGTGTTGAGTTATCCTATAAACAATTTATCTCTATTTCTACCCTACCAAACAAAGTGTAAAATCTCTTCATAATTTAATTTGGACAATAATAAAGAAAAAGCAAACAACATTATCTCACTTGTCAAAAACTCCCATCCTTTCAACATTCTTTACAATTAACTTTTTTTTCTCTCTTCAATTTCCATTTTCTCTTGTCATCCAAACAAAATAGTTTTTCAAAATCCATCCTTAAAAAAAGCGCCGCACGGTTTGTAAGCAGTACCGTGGCAAAGCATATAAGCAAAAGAACGAGTTTGTAATCCAATTATTATTGTTTATTGTTATCCATCTACATTCTACACTACTGCAATGGAGGGAACCTTACTTCCCCTCTCTTCTCCTTCAACTTCATCTTCCAAATTCAACCATCGTTTTTGTCTCCCCTCTTCCCTACTCAACCACCACCGTCACTCTCACTTCCCCAAATTCCCCCCAAAACCTAAAATTGACACCACAACTTCACTACATCTCCCTCTTCGATGCTCTCTCCGTGCCTCCACTCTAGCACTTGACCGAGACGAAGCTTCCGTCTCCGGAACACCTGATAACGGTTTGCCTAGAGTCGACAAAACCGGCCGCTTTTCTAGTCCCAGAGCCGCCAGAGAACTTGCTCTGTAACCACATTACAACGTTATATTATATCACAGTTTCACTTTCACACTCTATTGAATTTCAAATCTTCATTTTTGTTTTATTTTCTAGGTCTATAATTTATGCGTCTTGCTTGGAGGGTTTGGACCCGGTTCGGCTATTTGAGAAACGAATGAATGAGCGCCGAGGTAACTAATTAATGGTTCACCGTAGCTCTTAATTGTATTGCCTTGAAAATTGAAGTGAATGTGTTTCTTTGTTTGCTTGTTATAGAGATTGGATATGAATTCAACAAGGAAAAGTTGTTGGAGTATAATCATATGAATTTTGGAGGACCACCTGTTGTTGTTGAAACTTATGAAGAAGAAAATGAACTTCTGAGGAATATTCAACTCGATGCTGCAATTGGTAATCAATAATGAATTTTAATAACAATAGTTTCTATCTAGTGTAATGTGTACCTATATCATATGTTTCTGTTATTATTTCCTACTTACAGCTTACCATTTCTAGTGTCTAGATTAGTTTTTTTAGGTTCTACTTTTTATATGTTCTATGCAGACTTTCATGACTCATAAATATGACTGGTTAATTTGATTTGCTGGTCAAATTGCAAGTTAATCGGTATTTGGAAATGAAAGTCGGTAATTTCTTTATTTATAGTGTTTCATTTGCTATTAGGATTGAAGTTTGAAAGTAAGAAACATTATTGACTTTTCATGATAATTATAACTTTGAATATGTACTATGTCCAAATCAATGTGTGGTAGGAAATCATAGTTGTATTGTAGCTTATGCAGTCTGATACTCTGATGACACATGCCATTTACAGCCTGGAGTAAAACCATTTTACACCGTTATCCAATCACTATCAGATATTACTGTTTTGCCATACCAGGTTAAAATGTTTTAATTACATTAAAATTTAAAAAACCCAATCCCAATAACTACCTGGTTCTACTGTATAGCAGGTCCTCTCACAGGGCCTCTTTGCTTTGTTGATTTTCACCGGCTTCCTTTACTGCTGTAGACAATCACCCTCATCTCGACTACCCATTATCCCCATCCAAAGATTTCCTTGTCTGTTATTCTTTTTCTATTACATCATTTTGTCACCGACACAGGCAAATGATTTTAAGTAAGTTAATTCTTTTTAACAATTCCATGAATTTTTTAAAGATATTTTCCAAATTTAAGTTGAATCAAACATCAGTTTTTTTGCTTATGCATGACACATATGGTTGTGCCCACCTTTAGTAATTGTTAACTGTAATCATCTATCCACCTATAACATATAAACATAGGTCAATCAACATGTAGAACTTGGATTATATTAATTCATTATACGCCATAATGTTTCAACTACCTTCCCTAAATTATATTTTTTTCTTCTTCCATTTCTTACATGCTTAATAGCCAGATGTAAGTTGTAACGTCTGCATAATCACTAGTTAGGGACCTATGCTGGGACGTGAGAACAAGAATGACTATGAACTGCGTGAGGGATTAGCCAATTAGGGTTTTTAGGACTGTTTTAATTTTAATTCAAATTCAATTAAAATATGTTATACTGATGTGGTATCGAACTCCTTTGATGGCACCCTGATATTACAGTTGCATCATATGACATGCTCTTCAGTTTAAAACCTTGGATACGAATGAAACACCAAGCTTTTTACTTTAATATCCATGTGAACAGAAATTTATGGAGTTTTACTTTGGTTGCACTGCAGAAGTTTGGAGATTTAGAAATTTGATGTTCTGTTATTATGTTAACGCCTTCATATTTATGACAGATTTATTTATACAGATTTTAGTTCGGACATTATCTGTTACTGATGAAGACTTATATAGGGTTGTAGTATCACATATCTTAGGTATTTAAATTTGGTGCAGCCTTCCTTATCATGTCAAACTATATCATATGACAGAAGTCTGTGTGTTGTCACGTGTATGTCCGTTAAAAGCTTTGTCTTGGTTGTAAAATATTTATTATCTACTCATTTATAATTTCCTTTTGTAACATGTAATGTTCTGTTGCATTTCAGAAGAAGAAGTCCTTGCAGCTCCCCCAAAACTGGTATATAGCAGGCTGATTTTGAGGTAAATGTAAACCCTTTACATATAAATTATAATGCATGCATCAGACATATACATTTAGCCAAAGCTTGTCATTTTTCCTCAAACACTGCACGACTGAGTTTTCTCGTGTGCGTGAGTTTGTTTTTCTCTTTTTTGAATTGACAATTGTTAGTCACTAGATGTTAGAAATGTTAGTGGGGAAAGTTGAACCCACAACACCTTATTCTTATTCCAACCCGTGTGAGAGAAGCTAATAATCTAGCATTGTGCCATATCTGCAGGTTCACCAGGAAACTGTTGGTTGCTGTCAGTGATAGATGGGATAGTCACATCCCTGTTATTAATAAAGTTATCCCACCAAATTGGCAGGTACAAGAAATGTAATAGCTTTTGCATAAAATTTGTTATTACTATCTCCCTAACAAAAGGAGCCATTAGATATAGTAAACGCTTTTATCTTATTTCATAGAATTTGTGCTAGACCTCATCCAAAAGTTAGAGTTAGGTCAAGAGGTGAGGATTGTCCAAGCTTTGTAATGACTACTTTGGCCATATTTTTAGTCAATTTGGCATCTCAACATTATTTACCGCAGCTATCTTTTCATCCTTTGAAACAATGCAATAATTAAAATTCTGTGTTTGTAAACCAAAACAACAACAGTGACCACTACAGCACCAAACAATTCATATAATGATAGTGAATTGTTTATACATATTTCTTAACTATTTGGCCTTTTCAAAATATTCAACCAAGCTCCGCCACTGCTCGTAACTGTTTTCTGTTTTATCCCTTGAATACACACTCACACATCTTATAATGATAATTCTTAAATGTCACATTGTTTGCTAATAGCCATAGTATGCATGTTTTTTGTTGATGCACTCCAGAGTAAGCCAGCGGAGAAGATTTTAGAGCTTTCTATTCTTCACTTGGCAATGTCTGAAATAGCCATGCTAGATACCAGACACCAAATCGTCATTAATGAGGTAAGTCTTAATTTTTTACTTCAACATACGACATCATATATTTTTCTACTATCAGAAAAAACTTTATATCACGTGTATCACCAATAACACCGAAATGACAGCTGCTATTAAGGGACTTGGTAAATGATACTAGCATATTGCATATACATTCACACACTTTCACAAGAACAAAAACTTATATAATGTATTGTTTTGAAGGCGGTGGATCTGGCTAAACGGTTCTGTGATGGAGCAGCCCCTCGTATTATTAATGGCTGTCTGCGCACATTTTACCGAGAACTGGAGCCCGAGGCATAAAAAAATAGGGTTTAGTCTATCTCAGTGTACATTATTTGTATGCTTGTTATTGCTTTGGGTTGTTGAAAATATTGAAGTGGATTTGAGGAATATCACCAATGGTGGTCTGATAACTTAGAGTTAGACATATGTTGAACCTTTATAATTTATAGGTACTTCAGGATTCTCTCCCTTTTTTTGTCTCATGTTTTCTCTAGTCCTTACGTAACACATTCTCACCCTTAAACAATCTTCCTTTTTTTCATATTTCAAAACATCTCTCCCCCCTTGACGTTTGAAAGTGCTATAACTCATTCTTTAAGTTCTTTACCTGTTGGCTGAATAATTATGATTTAGATTTGTTTGTAGCAATTCTAAATTTAGCTAATAGCCTATGTCTAATGTGTTATAGCACAAACATCTATTAAGATTAGATACTCAATTATACAAGGCCTTCAATTATGCAAGGAGAAAAATCATGTACAGTTCTATCCGAACTTGTTGATTACAGAGAAAGAACTTAAAGAATGAGTTTCAAGAAAGAACCTATGTCTTCTCTCAGTACTTTGAATCAACTTGTATTTCTCATTATGTTGTAAAAATATTACAAAGGAATGTTTATACATTGTTAATATTCTAAAAGAAATGGTTAGCCTTTAAATATATTTGGTTAAGCCAAGACTAACAACGGTTGCAATAGTTTAGTCAAACTATCACTATACTAGTTACTCTAGTATCTCAGGTTCAAGAGATGGAATACCGAGTTTGTCACACAGATCAACTAGTCTAACCGTCGATGTTTTAAAATTCAGACCGGTCATCTATTCGGTCAAATTATTGGATTAGTGGGTTATTGCTCAGATCACATTACTTTTAATTTAGTTTCATAATTATAAAATCTACAAAAAAAAATCTATAAATTTATTTATGCAAATAAATTGAAAACAATCTTAAATAAAATATTGAACAATCTTAAATAAAATATTGACCTTCAAACATAATAATTTGTTGATGCTTATAAATTAACAAAAGTTTTTAAAAAAAAGTATTTGTATGATATAACAATAGTTTTGAAATGCTACAAGTCCGATTTTTAAAATTTGACTTTTATAATTTTAATATTATTTAGTTATTATAAATAATTAACATAATTATAATTAAGTTAAAAAAATAAACATAAAAATATCAGTCTACCGAATTAAGAAATCCACTGATTTATTCCACTGATTTATTGGCCTCAATAGTGAATCTACCGAATCACATTGGTTTTCATTGAATTAATTGTAATTACTGTCCTCTAATCTTACCGAATCGTTTTATCTCTAATTCAAGGTCTAATTGATCCAATCAAGTCAAAACGGTCTGAATTTTAAAACACTAGTTGTAGGCAGGGGTGGCAAATGGACGTGCATGTTCTGCAAAAAGTGAAGATGGGTTGAGAAAAGTTCGCGGATATTGCACTTTTTAGTCTAGAAATACAAAAATTTATATAAATGCATGTGCTCGCAAAAAAGTCCATGTAGAAAACAGGACGGAGCGGAGCGGACATGTTAGAGGGTGAAGATCTAAAATCTTAATCTGTCCCACACTAAAATGCGGATAAAACAGACATATCTAATCGATCAAGTCCGTTTTGTCACCCCTGGTTGTAAGTAACTTTCTCCAAAAAAAAATTATGGACATAATAATTGGGATCATATGATAACCATTATGTAAGAGTGACTACATTGAAAATATTTTGGGTAATAGTGTAAGTAATGTGTTACTACTCCCAGTTAAAAGTAAATAATTGATATATAATAAATAACCTCAAGAAACTATAGAGCCTAGTATCTTCCTAGACGCTTCAAAATATGATAATTGCTTTCACTGAATCAAGACTTCAACATGATAGGAACTGTTCAGATAAATTTGATATCTTGAGATTCCACATCCAATTCCATGTCTTTAGTCAACATAAGTAGTAGGGGATGTGACTAAAAAAATAGGGGGATCACCTTCTTGAGTAAGAAAATATGAAATATCGGGTGAATTTTGGTATTAAGTGGCAATTCTAATTGATAAGTAACATGTTTAACAACTTTGGTGATCTTATATGGACCATAAAACTAAGGAATAAGCTTCTCATTGATCTTCTTTGTTAAAGACTTCAAATTGTATGATTGCAACCTCAACTAAATCAAATCACCAATCAAAAAAAGAGATATCACGACAATGTTTATCGTTTTGTTTCTGCATATGATTCTAAGCCTTTGATAGATTACTTTGGAGCTCTTTTAAAATGGTGTCACACTCCACTACTAGTCGAGTAATTTAAGGAAGGAAAGATGGAACAATTGTTCCTTTAATAATGTGAAGGGATTGCGAGCATAAAGGGCCGGAAACAATTTCATTTTAGACGAGTTATTAAAATTTTAGTTTGATTCTTGAGTTCAGTCAATAAAAATATCTTATTTGATTTGAATATTAGTTTGTTAAATTCTCTTATTTAATTTGGAGATTAACCGTTTAAAATATCTTGTTTGATTTATTAATTAGCATGTTAAAATCTATATAAATTTTTTATGCATATTCTTTTTCTCTTATCTCTTTATTTCTATTGCTTTATTTTCTTTACACCTTATATCTTTCTCTCCATCTCTTCATCATTCTTTCTATCTTCGGTTTTGCTACTTAATCTCTATTTAAATAGTAAAATTAACTTAAATATTTTTAGAAACTAAAATATTTGAATCAACAATACAAATTTTCTCATTTATAAATATTTTTGTATTGACAATAGTCTTTGCACAATTGGTTTGTTGGAATTTTTATTACTAATACTCAATATTAGAAGGAATATACACCATAAAAATTGAAAACAAACCCAATGTACTTTCTTTATAAGGTAGATAAATTTTTAGTCTCTATAGATATATAAAACTAAATTTTTTTCAGCTTTAATCTTTTTAAGTTATTTCGTTAATAATATAATTTTTTAATCTTTTTGCCACATGTTTAAACTGTTGCATCATACAAATATCATGTCATTATACTTGCCAAGATAATTTAATAACGTCTAAGGAATGTGATTAAAAAATAATCACCTTATGCTGCTTGTATTTCTCTAGAAAAGCATCAAATGAAGTTTCCCTTCTAGCCATATACAAATCATGTAAGATGAGAACACATTATTTCAACTCTGGTGTATATCTTGAATATTATTGCAGGAATAATGTATGCAACATACCAAAGAATAAACTTCATAAATACATTGAATTGTACATGTTTATTGCCAATACGAATTCTTTTACCTAATAGATAAATTATTATCTATTTAATCAAATACTTGCCCAAGGAGAAGCTTTAGGCTAAACAATGAATCGAGCAAACATTGTGGTAGACACAACCACCAAAGAAGGCAAGAACCTAAAACAAACACTATCCAACAAACTTAGCTCAGCAAGATAGTTACTTAAGGACTAAAACTGCAAACAAACAAATTTTAATTAGAATCTCAAAGGATTTGAAAGATCACCCGCTCCTGTTATCCGTTCTCAGGCCTGAAAAAATAGTGGCAACATGATTTCAAAGCAACTGCTAGGAGGTTTATTAGCTTCTTGTAACAAAATGAGTTATTAGCTTCCCATAGCAGAATGAGTTATTAGCTTTCTGTCAGGAGGTTTATTAGCTTCCTGTAACAAATTTCAAACCAACTATCACACACAAGAAATATTGGACTAGTTCATGGATGCAAACATCAGACTTAGTGTACGATAAGCTGATAACATTATGCATTCACATTATATTTACCAAAACTCACCACTTTTCTTCACATTATTTTGTGATTGTGTATGACCACTAATATAGTTTATGTATTTTCAATTTAGGGGATTGTCTTTCTTGCATTTTTTACTAACCTCTGAAATTTCATGTGCAACGAATGTCTACAATAACTCTTGAAGTTTTCATATATACTTATCCATAACTTCAAGAGTTATTGTAGACATTCATTGCACATGAAATTTCAAAGGATAGTAAACCATGCGAGAAATACCATCCACTAACTTGAAAATGCACAAACTATATTAGTGGTCGTGCACAATCACAAAATAACATGAAGAAAAGTGGCAAGTTTTGGTAACTAATGTGAATGTAGAATGTTATCAACTTATCATACACTAAACTTAATGTTTACATCCATGAGAAAGTCCAATATTTCTGTAGTAGTTTTCTAAAATTAGGAGATTACATGCATTTCCATCCCCAATACATCGTCATTCCTCCCTTCTCAAACGTCTACAACAACATTCACACAAACATTAATAGCCAAAACTGAAAGGAGTACCTTTATGACTAATAAATATTTCAAAATCAACTGTGAACAAAAAGTAAATACTTGGTAGGCTATATTCACCTTTTTATGACCATCACCAACATCATCAAATGCATAGACATAACCAGGTTGCTGAAATCCTAAATACCACTCAGACAACTTCACATACTTTAATATAAACTTGATACTAACAATTAAAAAAAAACTCAGGATATGCAATTCAATAAGTTTATACTATTAACTCTGAATCATGCACATACACAAATCACATTAGTGCAAAAAAATATTAATTGAAAAGTGCTACAAACAAAAATCACATTAGTGCAGAAAAATCATATTAGTGCAGAGTTAACTTAGTACAAAGTTAACTTAGACATTAACCTCACATCTTAAAATAAGATAGAAACTCAGCGATTCATTTATAGGATCGAATATTTCGTCAACTTTCCCAATCTAAGTCATGTTTTGGCGAAATACATATGCTTAATTTTGAGCATGAATTCATTTGCAAAAAGGAATATTATGCATGCAGTAGAACTCTAATAGAACATAGAAAAAAAGTTAACCTTAATGCTCTGTTTATCTCATACATATTTGAAACTCTTTTTTTAGGAACTAACATAAGCATTTCTCCCTTCTACTACTACCATTATTATCAACTACATTTACACTTGAGTCACACTCTTGTGAAAAGATATCAGTAATA